TTTTTTTTTTTTTTTTTTTTTTTTAGTTTCTTCAAAATTTACCAGATTCCTGAAATCTATTGGGCACTCACACAAAACTGAGGCAACAAGTTTTCATATGACACAAAGGGCAAGGCAAGACATGCTATTGTGAAATATTAGAGAAATATATATATAATCTGAGTATTAGGGAAATGGGGCCTTCGACTAGGGTTTAAGTGAGTTGGAGAGATTCTACTTTTGAAGGATTTAGTTTCTGATTATAAGTTAAGATCCATGAAACCGTAAAAGATTTACCCCAAATATTCTGTATAACAAAGATAGAAATTGAGAAAGAAAAGATCTCTAATGAAAACGAACCCCCAGTCATACTATTATGTCCTACTCTGATTCCAGTGTGGTATCTAATGGTCAGCTTAATGTTGATTTAAAAAACTGCCCTGCTCTAAGCCAGCTGAAAGGCTTTTCCTTTCCTCCAGCCACGGTTGGAGTCAGACACGTGCGTGCAGGCTGCGAGCTCGGAGGCCGGAGCGGCGGCGGGGCTGCGCCCGCATCAGGCTGCGCCCCGCCCCCTCGCCTCCGTGCGCGCAGTCACGGTGCGGCCCGCGCCCTTCCCCCTTCCTCCCTTTCCCGGGGGAAGCTCTTTCCTGTGGTTTTACAGCCCGCGGAAGCGTCCCGGCAGGCAGCGTGCTGCAGGGCTCTGGGCCGTGTACCCACGCGGCAGAGGGGGGAATGCTCCTCCACGCCGCGGAGCTGCTCAGTCCACAGGAGGTGGGGAGAGGCGAGCACGCGCAGCCTGCTCAGCCAGGCTCCCGCCTCCCGCCCCCAGCGGGCATCTGCACTTTTGTCCGCAAGGTGGTAGGCTGGTTTTTAAAGAGTTCTTAAAAAATAATAAATTATTATTAAATTAGAAGTGGTAACTAATCAGAATCTAAGAGCTTACTGCTTCCCATCCCCTCCCACCCCAATAGAAAATACCCCAGAGAAAATTCTTCTAAAGTTTCTGTTTTTAGTTCTCTGGTTTCTGCTATTAAGTAAAATGTTTTCCCCCCTCCCAATTTATTCATTTTAGACACTCTCCCCTGACTCTCCATTGTGAACAGCGACAATTTCGCTCATTTGTATTACAACTCTCTGACTTTTCCTAATACACATAGTTCATTGTTCCTAATTTTTTGATTGCTTTTAAAAGTTTTAATGATCTGTAACTCTTTCCTCTGCGTCCTCATTGGGCAGCATCTCTTGAGGCTTCGCTTTATAACACGGGCTATGAGTGCCTGCCGCCTCTCTCTACCTTTATCCCTTCCTTCCATACTGTACCTTGTAGCAGCCACAGCTTCTGCGTTTACATCGGGAGAGCTCGCATGCATGCTCTGTCTAGCCACCACAGTCATGGTTGACCCCAGGGTGACTCTAAACTTTGGAAACCAACACATAGCACTTGCTTTATAGGACTATGTTAATATTGTTCGATGCTGGTCTAAGTAGTGTGATAGATTGTGTGCCCTTCTCTCACTGAGGTAAGGTAATATCACCTTGGCCATTCTAAGGAGCATCAAGGTCAACTAGAATAGCTTTTCTTACACTTTGTATTACATAAATTCATGCCATATTGTAGTTGGTTTTATATCTGAATCATGGTCCACTTGTACATTTGGAAAGTATTTCCCTGAGAGTCTAATTGCCATTTTTCTTGCACTGCATTATTTGCTTTCATCATATCTCCTCCCCCTTACACATAAACACACACATCTAAGCTGTACCTTTAATTCATTCTTTTCTGGAGACCTCTCAGTCTTTACCCTGATGCAAGTCTAATCCTCATGACTCTGTAGATGACTTTTTTTCTCTTTGAAACCATTTAGGATTTTCCCTTTATTGTTGATGCTCTGAAGTGTCACAAACACGTATTTGAAGATTCCTCTTGCCAGGCAGTGGTCCTTTTAATCTCAAGATTTTTTCAGTTTTAGAAGATTTTCTTCTACAACTTTCTTTGATAAATTCTTCCTTTTAGTTTTTTTTTATTGGACTGTTTTCTCTGTTTTGGACCCCTTTTATTTTATTCTGATGCTGGGCTTTATGTCTTTGCTCTCCTATTTTTAGTCTCTGACTTTTTCCTTTGCTTATGGAAATTTTCCTGATTTGATTTTCAGCGCTTGTATCAAACTTTCTTTTAGCAATCATGTTCGTCTCTAAGTTTTTATTTTCTTGCTCTCTGGTTGTCTCATACCATCCTTTTCTGGTTTTATAGCTGCAATACATTTGGCTCTCTCAGACTGCAGTAACTGGAGGCTTTTGCTTTGTTTTGTTTTAGGTTCTCTCTGCTTCTTGTTTTATTTTGTTCCTCTGTGGTCCATTTTGGTTTATTTTGGACAGTTATTCTCTTTGATGCTCTGAGCTCTATCCACATACTACAGACCCTTGGTTTTCTGTACATACTTCAGAGAAAAGGAAGAGTAGATGGTGGAGGTTTTCTTTGTTATTAACACCGAGCTCTTTCCCAGCCATGTTTCTCTCCTGAGTAGGAATTCTGTAAGGAAACAGGGCTGGGACTCACTTTAGAGGAAGCTGATGGGAAGCTAGCTTTTAAGTCTCAGGATGACAGGTTTTTTGTGACACACTATATACTTTTCTCCTTAGGCTGTCAGATGCCTGCCTGTGCGAGTACCACCTGATACATTTCCCCACTTATAAATCTTGTATGTCTCACTTCTAAGTCATACCTTCTGACTCTCCCTTTGAAGCTCCTTACATCATTTTCTAGACTCTGACTTCTCTGCCCATTTCATTGGTCCACTTGCCTCTGTTTCACAGACATTCATTGAACTCTCATCTGTTGCTCACCACCACCACTACCAATCCTATGCCTCACCTTCTATATTTCCTTTTCTGTTAATGGTTTTACCTTCATAGTACTTTTATATTTTTGTATCAATGGGATCTTGGGCGCAATGGGAGACAAACACATATTTCTGCCATCTTGAATCTTTACAACTTGGTTTTAGAAAAGCTTATCAATTCAGTTTCCATTTTGAAATGTAGCACATTTTAGATTGTTTCCATTGTCTAGTTTTCTGTTTAGTATCTCCTCGAATAGGCTGGAAAGAGCTATAGTCCTGCATTCTATTTCATTTGTTTTTTCTATAGAACAAGAAATTCAACTGTACAGTTTCAAAATTTCAAATGCAAGTGCTACGGTTTAAAGTAGACCCGTTCTAACTTCACGCTTCAATTTTTTTAACCCCCGCTTGCCTTGCTCTGTGCCTTGACTAATCATCTTTTCTTCTAGCATTGTGTCTTTACTGTCTTCTTCCCAATCCCCTCTCAATCTGGAGTTAAGGCATCTCTCCTCTGGGCTCTGCCCGCCTTGGCTCTCCCTGCTCACCGTTACACGAGTGCGCCGACACTTCAACGCCACCGCGTTTCTCTCCTGTCTCTGCTACACGTGAGTCTCCTCAGGATACCCTTTGAATGGTTTTGAGACGCAACAATTTTCAACTCCTGTTCAATGTTGCTTTGTCCCTGCTCCCATTCCTTCCTCTCCCCATATTATACTGAAATAAATCCCAGACAGCACATCTTTTCCTTCAGATATTTAGTATGTTTCTCAATAAGGGCTCTTTAAAAAGTGTCAACTATAGTACCATTCAAACATCTGAAATTACTTCATTATCATTATATATCCAGTAAGTATTCACATTTCTAATTGCTTCATAATTATCATTAATACTTTTTAGTTTATTTGACTGAATTAGGATCCAAATAGGGTCTAAAAATTACAGTTGGTTGATATGCTTTTAAAAGTTGTTTTTAATCTGTAAGCTCCCTCTCTTACTGCAATTTAATTGTTTAAGAAACCGGATTATTTGTCTCCTAGATTTTCCACAATCTGGATTTACTGATTACAACCCTGCACTGTCCTGTAATGTGTTCCAGGCAGTTTATCCTTTTAAACTCCTGGGATTTTATGGTGTTCAATGATTTGACATCATTCCTAACGTTTCACATTGAATCTTTGTATCATTGCAATTCTCTTGAAACCACTTTTTATAAGAAGTTAGAAAAAGAACGTAATAATTAAAGTTTATACAGACGTGTTTAACTCAGTCTGACCCAGTTGTTTATGGCCTTGTAATTAGAAAGCCAGTTAAATGGTAGTTTCCTTGTGGGACCAGGTTCTTAGAGTTACTGATGAAAATGAAATGTACTTTTTTGCAATAAGGGCCCTTTGGGAAATTGCCTTTCACCTCTGAACTGTAATAAAATTTGCATTAAAATGAGAGAAGCTCTATTTTCAAATTTCTAACCCCAAATAAATGAGAACCCTGGCTCAGGTGGAATCAGAGACTCGTATATGTGAATAGCTCCAAGCAGACCATCTTCAGCTGCTCCAGAGTATGGCTAGGGCAAGCGATGTAGTCTGCGATAGATATTGAGACCCTCGCTCAAGCAGACTCCCCTGCGCCCAACCCCACTGCTGGGGAAAATAAATGTGTTTTTTCCCTCAGCCACTGGTTGGGGAGTAAATATAGAATTTTAATACTTCCTTATCCATGTGTTAGAAAATATAAGATCTAAACAGGGGGAAATGCACTGGGAGGATTTCACCACCTTTGAGGCACGCTGCAGCCTGAGTGCTATGAGCAGGAGCGCTGTCATCTTGTCTGAAGGGCTGCAGCTGCTTCATGGCTTCTTCGAGTTCCGGTTACTTCTGTGCAGTTTTCCTTGATGGGAGTCCATTCTTGGCCTTGCCAAGTCATTTTTCTTGAGTTGACATACAGCTTTTTGCATAAGCATTATTTTTAAAATAAATCAAGGATTTTCACTATTTGATTTTTGCCAGGGATAAACTTGGAAGGGTTAGAACTTGTAGGATACAATGTCAGACTAAAAGTTTCCTTTTATGATGTATTCTTCCCATTTTCCCCTTTGTTTCAGGAGCTGGGAATCCAAAGTGCAAAGTTGCTATTGTTTTGGGAAGAACTAAAAATACTTCGGCAAGCAGGTAATAAACAACTGACTAAGAATCTGTACAGGAAGACCAGTCAGTTCTCTCTAGCCACTTAATTTACCTAGAATGCACCATTGGGTGCACAAATCATAATGTAAAATATAATATTAAATGTCATATTTGTTAGAATTATTTTGCTGAAAGATATATTTAGGAAATATTTTGGGGAGTGCTGCTGTACATTCTTCACTGTGGAATTTCCTGTATTAAAAAGTGTTGCTACTTCTCAAAGCTTTTTGGGTCAGATTATAAGACATAAAATTTTTCAGAACTGTCTGTAAGTAATTAAGTGATGTTTAGATCAAGGGCAATAGTCCTGAAATGTTTAACACTGTATATCAGTTCCCACTGTTGAGCAATGAGACGCCTCCATTAAATAGCTTTTACTTATTTTCAAATCCTTGTTATTGTTCCAGATCCCAGCCAGCATCCGACTGTGCTTGATGTATGTTTTTACATCCCATTCCAGACACCACTGCTTATCTTACATGATTACAAGAAAGCAATAACAGCAACCAAAAAATGACAATTGTGATTCCGCCTAACATCTGTTTTATTTTCCCACTTAGCAGACTTCTCCTAACATCTGTTTTTCTTTTGACCAGACACAAACAACACAGCATGATTCTTGTTCCTATCAACACACCTGGAGTAGAAGTCATAAGGCCTTTGTCAGTGTTTGGCTACATGGGTAAGGGCTCAGTCAAATGACCACGCTGGAAGACTGGAGTATGTAGTTATACTGAAGGGAATAGAAAGCATTTTAATGTAGGACATGTGTTCTTAGAAATCTTTTGGCCCTAACAACTGTCTTAATATAAATGCCAGCAAATAAAAAGAGGGGTGGTGCAGCATTCTACCTCATTTTGTTTACTTATGGGACAGGATGGATTGTATTCAAGGAACAACTCTGACTGCCAGTCTTCTATCGGTAACCCGGGAGAATAGACTAATGAAATATATAGAGAATCATAAAATCTAGGCAGTCCACAATAAAATTCATTTTTGCTCTCTTAATCAACCTATAAGAGCTGTTAATAAGCAATGAGTTTTGACTGAATTGAATGCAAACTATTCCTACCTTCTGTCCTTGCGTGTAATTTCTAAGCAGCAAGGATACTTTTATTTCCTGCCACCCACGTCAGGCTCATGTCTGTTGTTTCCTTGCTGCTCAGGTCATTCACTCAGTAAGTATCTGAGTGCTGAACACTGTTTTCAGTGTTTAGTGTACATTAGTGAAAACAAGAGACTAAGATCTCCACCCTCCTAGAGCTTACATTGCTGTGGGGAGGAGACAGGAATTAACTACAAACATGTAAGTAAATTAGGTAGCATTGCGATCATACAGCAGGTGATAATGTTATGAAAAAGTTTATTGAACTCCCAGTTCTGTGGTGACCCGGGCTTTCTCTTTATTGTTGAATGTGGCTAATGAAAATGTTCAAGTCACAGATATAAGACCTACAGTTTTACAGACAGTTGACGTGGTCACCCTCTGCAGGATGCAGCGATAGAATGGGGAACAAGCTCACTGAAGCAAACCGTGCATAAAAAGTTGGGCTGCAGACTAGCAGCCTGAAAGACTCCCCAGATGAGTTCATAGTATCAATTGGCTGCAAATACCCTCCATTACAGAGCCTATGTTAGAACTTTCAGGATGAGAAATTCACCAGCACCTCGCCAACTCCGTGCCCAAGGCCAAAAGAAACAGTGTGGAGAAGATTGATTACTAATGTCTCTTCTGACAGGAAAAGGGTGTGGAGTTAGCATGAAATTATCTCCAGAACTTGGGGAGGAGCAGTGCTGTAAAGACAAGTGTGAATGTGTTCCCAGTTTCAGTGAAGTGCCAGCATTTTCAAGAGGGGGACAAATGGTGAACAAGCCTAGACTGGGAACAGACATCTCTGAAGACCCAGCCTGTGCTTCATCTCTAAGGCTGAGCCAGCTCTGTCTCTCTGAAGCAGCCTCTTCACATCTTCAAACCAATGATAAAATAAAAAACGTAAATTACATCACTCACTTTCAATTTTTGAACTATTAGAACCTTTCTTTTTCAAGCAGAATTTTCTTTGGAAGACCACATATAAAAAATTTCAAAGAAGCCATAATAACAATAACAAAACAGTCTGCTTGGAGCTGTGGAGCCATCTTCCCTTTTAATAGCTCTACAACCTCAGAGGATGAGTTAAAAAACCCTGGATCAAATGAGTTCTAAAAGCTCTTCTAACTTGAACATCTGATGAGTTTTCTGGGCTCTGGGATGCTGGGGGTTCAGGGCGCAGGTCTACCTAGGAATGTCTGTGACATGAGGCTTTTAAATCCTACTCTCTCTGAGTAATTATACTTTAGCAGATTAATGATATGGGACTATTTTTTTGGCTAACCCATTTTGTTCTTTAAAATTTTATTTTCTATTTGATAGATAATTTGCATGGAGGACATTTTGAGATCCACTTTAATCAGGTGCGAGTTCCTGCCACCAACTTAATACTAGGTGAGCTAAGTTTGCAAAAAAGATTCTACTGAATTGTATATTAAAATATTTTCAGGTCTAAATATGGAAAAGATATGAAGTCTGCCTTAATTTAGATACTTTCCCTTCTTACTCCATTTACCAGGGAACATTTTTCCATTTTGTGGATTTTCTTACATGGAATAATGTTTTATTAAAGTGTTTGATTGTGGTTTTGTATCACATCAATTGAAAACATAGCTAAAAAATTACAGAATTCAGAGCAACACACTTTTTCCTAAAACATGATTGTCAGGCCTCTCCTTGTTTTAAGAAAACCTCGGTACTCTCTGACTTCAAGTCTTACATACACATTAGGAACATAAATAACTTTGAACACTGTATGCTTGGAATGACTCTGCCCTCTTGCTTACTGGAATCCTACCCAAACTTCAGAGAATCTCCAATGGAGCTCTTTCTGGAAGGCTTTTTTGTTCCTCGTGCCGGGGATCCACTCCCTAAGCCCGGTGCCTGCCAGGTCCCAAGGTCACAACCCTTCCCTCCTTTGCCCTTCTCCATACCCTTTCCCCCCACGGCCCTTGTTTCCTGTTCTTGATTCTAAACTAGTGTAGGAACCATGTCTAATCTTGCTCTGTAACCACTGTGGCACTAATAAATAGCTTCTGCAGAGTAGCTACATACTCAAGAGAGAGTTCTTAAATTTGATCACAGTGTTGAATGATGGTGGTGTAAAAACATCAAAATCAAAAGTTCTATAAATGTATAATGAAACTAATTATAAAACTGACATTTTTCCCTACCAGAATGTCATTTATACTGAGGGCAGCTCACCATTTTCTCAGGATTTGCGTAAATAACACAGTAAGTTGGCTGTGGCCACTTTCATGTTCGTTTTTCTTTCTCACAGGTGAAGGGAGGGGATTTGAAATTGCCCAAGGCCGCCTTGGACCTGGCAGAATCCACCACTGTATGAGAACAGTAGGTTTGGCGGAGCGCGCTTTGCAGATCATGTGTGAACGGGCAACACAAAGGGAGGCCTTTAAGAAGAAACTGTATTCACATGTAAGGATAATTATTTATTTCAATTTATTGTAGCCCAATGCACTACACTAACCTAGAACCAAAACAGCATTACTTGGTCAGAGAGAGATTTCCTCTACCTAAACAAGGTGATTCTTTCCCCCAAAGTGTATTTCTGTCTGTATTTAAAATTAGTCTGATGAGAGAGATTTATCTTTGTGAAAGATTAACTCCTAAAATGCTTCAACACCTCAGCAGGCAGCGTGGGCAAGTCCTTCAGCTTTCTCAGACTCTCCTCTAGAGAACCTGGTCCACTGGTCCTCCCTGTGGACATGTGAGGGCTGTCATGGGAAGAGGGATTGCTTTGATTTTTGGCTTTCTGGAAGAATTAGGATAAGTGTAGATAGAGGGAAATAGCCTAAAACTCAGTGAAAGGAGAGATTTAAAAATGGAATGGGCTGCTTCAGGAGGAAGTGAGTTTCCTGTCACTGGGGAAATGCAAGTAGAAATGGAACCGACATTTGGTGGGATGTCCATAATTTTTTTGAATTCTCATCTATAAATTACATACTGTCAAGTCTGTTGTTTACAAAGCACAGTAAACACTGTAATTACATGTAGGCAACATAATAAAAATTAGAGAACATTTATCAAGAGAGAAGAAGGTATCATTTCAGACTTCCTTGAAAAATTTTTTTAAGAGAAGTGGGATATCCAAATCATCCCACAAAGAACCCTTCTAACTTTTAAGACAAGAAAATTATCATTAAATATTTAATATTTACAATTGCTGACATGTTGGTGTTAGGTCAAACTTGTGATGGTAAAAATGTACTTGTTTGCTGGACATGTGTATTGTAATACATTGGTCCTCTTATAAAGTGCATTTGTGACCATCTTATGAAATTTTGCAGTATATTTTTACTTTCAATTTCTATAGGCTATGTTTACTTTTTGTGAAATGTTTTCAGCATATCTATGTTTAGTCATAACATTGTTCTTATAGAAAAATACAGCCTGCTTTATGGCACCCATGTAGGAATCATTCGTGGGGAACCCCTTGGTACATGGTGAGAGCAAGGGTTTGGCTGTTGGATGGGCACTGTGGGAGGAGGTAGGACGGTGTGAATTTGCAGGGCCCTGGCTACAGCTTCACACTGCTGCTGGAGTAGGAGCAAAACAGTTGCTCAGGGCATCAGCTATCACTTCTTAAGCTTTTCTCCTTTAGAGACAGTATCCAACCCCTGGAGCTGGGTGAAGGGAGGGCACAGAAGGGTTGATGGACAGGCATCTCTGAACACACAAAAGCACTCTGCTCAACTGCCGCTTTCATGAGAGATTTTTTAATACTGTGCTAAAGGGAAATTTCCCTCCTGCTTTTTAAAATTAATGTATCAAGTAGAACAAGCCTGGGCTTTTCAACAGTATGACTCCCTGGAAACTTCTTGCATTTGGCACAAAGAAAATGATCTGGCAGAAGTAAAAGAGATGTATGAGTATATCATAAACAAAAATCCAGGCCAGCCTTTTTTTTTTTTTCCAGTTCATGAAAGTAACATTCCTTTTCCTTGAATTTGGAGACTCCTTCCAGCTGCCTTCTAAATGTACCAGGCGCTAAAGCTAACAGTTCTATGTCAGAGTTCTGTCTTAGTAACTAATCTGGCAATTCCTTAGAGCACTCAGTGTCTACCCACTTAATACTTTCCAGCAAATCTAGGGCCTGTAGAGACCCAGCTGCAAACACTTTCCTTCATTCTGAAGCTAAAGTAAATGCATCTGGTGTCTGTTCATGAAGTTAGGACCCCCCAGTTTTATAGGCATCAACAGGACACTCACTGACCACTGGTAGCTCGTTTGAAGTTGTTAATTCAGAGCCTTGGTTCAACCTCTAAGGCGGAGCCATCCAATAGAAATATATTGTGAGTCACAAATGCAATTTAAAATTTTCTAGTCAGTACGTTTTAAAAATGTATAAAGAAATAGATGTTGATTTTAACCCAATATACTTAACCTAATATATACAAAATGTGGTGTTTTTTTTTTACTTTAAATCATTTTTATTTTTCAATTACAGGTGACATACAATATTATATTAGTTTCAGGTGTACAACCCAGTGATTATACATTATATAACCTACTACGTGATCACCCCAATAAATCTCATACCCATCTGACACCACACATAGTTATTACAATATTATTGACTATGTTCCCTATGCTGTACTTTACATCCCCATGACTATTCTGTAACAACCAATCTGTACTTCTTAATCCCTTCACCTTTTCCACCCATCCCTCCGCCCCCCTCCCATCTGGCAACCATCAAAATGTTCTCTGTGTCTGTATGTCTGTACCTGTTATGCTTGTTTGTTTATATTGTTTTTTAGATCCCACATATAATTGAAATCATATGGTATTTGTCTTTCTCTGTTTGACTTATTTCACTTAGCATAATACCCTCTAGGTCCACCCATGTCACAAATAGCAAGATTTCATTCTTTTTTATGGTGAGTAGTATTCCATTGCATATATGTACCACAATTTCTTTATCCATTCATCTACTGATGAACACTTAGATTGCTTTCATATCTTGGCTACTGAAAATAATAAAAGAAAATGAACATAAGTGTGCATATATTTTTTTGAATTGGTGTTTTGGATTTCTTCAGATAAATACCCAAAAGTGGGATTGCTGGACCAAATGGCAATTTTCTTTTTAATATTTTGAGAAACCTTCATATTGTTTTCCATAGTGGCTGCACTAATTTACAATCCCACCAACAGTGCCCAAGGACTCCCTTTTTTTCCCACATCCTCACCAATACTTGTTGATTTATTGATAGCCATTCTGACAGATATGAGGTGGTATCTCATTTTGGTTTTGATTTTCATTTCCTTGATGATTAGAATGTTGGGTATCTTTTCATATGTTTATTGGTCATGTTAAGCTGTATGAGCTCTTTGTATATTTTGGATATTAACCCCTTATAGGCTGTATCATTTGCAAATATCTTCTCCCATTCAGTAGGTTGCCTTTTTTGTTTTTTTGGTGGTTTCCTTTGTGGTGCAAAAGCTTTTAGTTTGATGTAGTCCCATTTGTTTTTTTGCTTTTGTTTTTGCCCCAGGGGACAGATCAAAAAAAAAAAAATTACTAACACCAATATCAGAGTTTATTGCATGTTTTTTCTAGGGGTTTCAGGTTAAGTCTTTAATCCACTTGAGTTTATTTTTGTATATAACTTAAGAAAGTGGTCCAATTGCATTGTTGTCATTGTTTTGCATTTATCTGTGCAGTTTTCCCAACACCGTTTTATTGAAGAGACTGTCTTTATCCCATTGTATATTCTTGCCTTTGTTGATTAATTGACCATATAGGCATGGATTTATTTCTGGGCTCTCTATTCTGTTGCATTGATCTATGTGTCTGTTTTTATGCCAGTATCATGCTGTTTTGATTACTATAGTCTTGTAGTATAGTTTGATATCAGGTAGCAGGATACTTCCGATTTTGTTCTTTCTCAAGATTCTTTGGCTGTTCGGCACCTTTTGTGATTCTTATAAATTCTAGGATTATTTGTTCTAGTTCTGTGAAAATGCTATTGGTATTTTGATAGGTATTGCATTGAATCTATAGATTGCTTTGAATAGTATAGACATTTTAACCATATTGATTCTTATCCATGAGCATGGTATAGCCTTCCATTTAACTTGTCTTCTTTGATTCCTTTCTTTAATGTCTTATACTTTTCCGAGTATAGGTATTTTACCTCTTTGGTTAAATTTATTTCTAGGTATTTTATTCTTTTGATGCAATTGCAAATGGGATTGTTTTCTTCATTTATCTTTCTGATTGGTTGCATTTTTATACAATAACAAACTATTTCTTAATATTAATTTTATATCCTGCTACTTTATTGAATTCATTTATTAGTTCTGATATATTTTTTGGTGGAATCTTTAGGGTTTTTTATATATAGTGTTATGTCATATGCAAATAACGACAGTTTTTTAATTCTTTCCAAATTAGATGCCTTTTATTTCTTTTTCTTGTCTGATTGCTGTGGCTAGGACTTCCAATACTATGCTGAATAAAAGCGGTGAAAGTGGACATCCTTGTCTTGTTCTTATCTTAAATAAAAAGCTTTTAGCTTTTCACCATTGAGTATGACATCTGCTATGGGTTTGCCATATATGGCCCTTACTATGTTGAGGTATTTTCCCTTTATTCCCATTTTGCTGAGAGTTTTTATCATAAATGGATATTGGATTTTGTCAGGTGCTTTTTCTGCATCTATTGATATGACCATATGATTTTTATCCCTCATTTTGTTTGTGGTTATCACATTAATTGATTTGGGATAGTGAATCAACCTTGTATCCTAGGAATAAGTCCCACTTGATTATGGTGTATGATCTTTAAAAAAAAAAAAAAAATTATCCTCACTTGAGGATATGATATATTGATTTGAGAGAGAGAGGAATGGAGATACAGAGAGAAACATCAATCGGTTGCCTCCCGTATACACACTGATTGGGGTTTGAACCTGCATCCTAGGTATGTGCCCTGACCAGGAACTGAACTCACAACATTTTGGTGTACAGGATGATGCTCCAACCAACCGATCCATCCGGCCAAGGTAGTCATAGTGTATGATCTTTTTAACACATTGCTGAGTTCAGTTTGCCAATATTTTGTTGAAGATTTTTGAATCTACGTTCATTGGGGATATTGGCCTGGTTGCACCAACTCATTACTTTCAGGCAGAGGTAGAAGTCCAGGATGCCATTCAGTTTCCATTAATGCCTGAGGGGAAGAGTGCATTTTTACTGCCTGGTAGGATAGAAGTCCAGATTCCCCAAGTGGTCTCCACTGACACCACAGGGAGACTGGAGCTTGTTGCTGGCCCAGCTCCTTACTTGGCATTCTCATATCACCCTGGCAGGGGTGCTGAGGTACCTCATTAGAGCACTGATGAGGGGTAGAAGTCTAAGCTGGCATGAGTAGGGACAGGGCCAAAGTTTTTTCTGTAGCGTTTGGCTTGGGTAGAATGGTTATTCTGTGTAAGTTTTCTTTCTTGCTAGGCTGCCCCTACCCAATTCTTCAGCTGAAGAGAATAGACTTTTGTTGTAGCTATTTTTCTGTACAATTTTTTGCGCTCATTAGCATTTCCAAGTTGCTGGCTTCTTCAGCCTTTAAGTTTGGGATCTATGAGGCAAAAAGAAAACCCAGGGAACTTACCACTAAGTTGTTCTTTTAGTCTGGAAGTCCCTAGCAGGTCTGCCTTCTTCTCTCTCCTTTCAGAGTCCTCTTAGTTTATTTTATAGATAAGGCCCAGGTTTTCAGTTGTACTTAGCAAGAGAAACAGGGTAAAGAACATCTTAGTCCATTTTCCTGGAAGTAGGAGTCACTGGCAATACCATTTTCTCAATCTGTGTCGGTACTCTGTAAACCACAATGCAGAGCTCTCTGGGAAAAGCTGCATTGGAGAATGGGCCTGGAGCTAAGGCTGAAGTGGAATCTCCTTCACTCCAGATCTGGGCCTTGGGACCCACACATTCAGACATGTGTCCGAAGCACATAAATGTAACAACTTAGATGAAACAGACTAGTTCCTCAAACACAATCTACCAAACTCGTGAAAGGTGAAATAGATAATACATATGGTATACAGAGTAAGGCTTGGGGACAGCCTTTGGACTAGACTAGTGTTTTCACCAAACTACAAGGCTTTGTTACATGTGACACAAGACACTGGCTTACCCTTCTTTTTCTGTCCTTTGCTCCCCTGCAGGAGGTTGTAGCTCACTGGATTGCTGAAAGCCGTATCGCCATTGAAGAGATCCGCTTATTGACCCTGAAAGCCGCCCACACCATTGACATTCTGAGCGGCAGTGGCGCTAAGAAGCAGGTGAGGCCCCTTTCACCACCACCTGTCAAGCCTTCTCCAGAGTCTCCCTTCCACTGGGCATTCAGGTCTTACGGCGCCTCGATGGCATTCAGACTATTGGAAGCTTCTGTGTGACTTTGGTTTAAGGATTATAAATGTATGGCACTTGCTAGTTTTCCTTTCACTGAGCTGCTTTAGGAAATGATTTTCAGGATGCAAAATATCTTCAGCATTCTTGAGACGTGGCAACAGGGAGTAGGGAAATCCTAGACTTTATATGGACTTGGAATTGTACGCACTATGTCCCTTTCTGCTGGCTTTATGGCCTGGGGCACAGGAGCTAACCTTTCTGCCTATGGCCTAGGGTTCTGGTGGCAAGTGACCAAGATGATATAGAATGCATGGCACTGTGTTGCCACATAGTAAATGTTTCTGGCTTATATAGAATAAGAAAGTGATTGCTTAATTCTAAAAGCCAATAAAGTTGCTAAGAGAAACAGATTAGTGAAGACTCTTGAACATTTTTTATGATCCCTAAGGTGATGAATTTATCAGCTGCCTGAAATTCTTTCGGAAACAAGGAGAGTTATAAATAAATTAGTAAAATGTGATTTGGAAGAGATACCTCTTTCCAGAAGGTCGTATTGACTGAAATATGGCCATGAGCTGCATTACAGCGGATCTCTGTTGGCTTTTATCAAAGATCCTGTTTTAGTGGTGAACGCCTGTGGGAAAGTTCCCTTGTTTCATGTCACAAGGAAAATACAGATCATTTCAAATTCTGCCACATGGTGTACTATCAAAGAAAGGGATATTGTTTTGCATCTTGCTTTTGTAGATCGCGATGATTAAAGTGGCTGCCCCTCGGGCCACTTGCAAAATTATTGACCGGGCGATCCAAGTGTGCGGAGGCGCAGGTGTTTCCCAGGATTTCCCTCTGGCTTACATGTGAGTGGGTGCTACTTAATAACCATCTGCATTTGATAGGCTTAGAGTTAAAAATCTACAGCTGCCCTGACACTAACTGTTTAAGAAGAAAAAAAAAAAATTAACTTACTTTAAAGTATACTAAAGGCTACATAAGGTACTAGTTATAGACAAGACTTTTGGCTGCACAGGAGGTCAGCGTCCCAACCCTCACATTGTTCAAGCTTCAACTACAATATTGGTGCTTTAACATGGAGCTCAGTACCAAAAAATAGTTGCCGTTATGATTACAATGACCATTTCACTTAATTGTGTTCACTTTCACACTGGGCTCCTGGGTGGGAAGAAATAGCATGGGGGTTCACCCTGAAGCAGGAAGGAGAGGAGGGGGCAGAGACAGCCGAAGGGAGCCCAGAGCCAGGCTTAGGTATGTACTTAGGATGGTTACCACCTCCCACAGGGAGGCCTCGGCCCAGTCTACAGCAGTGCCTGCCAGTGACCATCCCATGTTGATTCTGGTTGGTGGGAGTCAAGAAGGAATGACACTCTCCTCCACTGCCACCCTGCTCATACTGGAGAATGGCCTCACCAATTCTCCCATCAAGTTTTGACCTTAAGAAAGAACTAAACATACAGTATTATATACTTTTAGTATTAAGTATTATATTTTTTTCGTATATAAGTATTATATATTTATACTTCATTAGCAACTTCTAGTAACCTTTAGCAAACCAAGACTGAGATTAAGCCCACTGCACTGGACCACTCCCAAGAAGAGAATTTAAAATGGCATTTCTGAAGTTTTTAGAAGTCCTCAGGATTCTTTATTGGATTTTCCCTGTGCTTTTTTTTTTTTATCACTGCCTTGGCCAGATTTCAAAAATTAATAGTTTTGGCTTAGAAACAGAGTGACTGATGTTAAAGCACCATATTCCTCTCTGATAACTCCCGCCACCCTGTTCCTTTTGTTTTTCCAGGTATGCCTCCATCCGAGCTTTGCGCTTAGCAGATGGACCTGACGAAGTCCACCTCTCGGCAATCGCAAAATTGGAGCTTTGGGACCAAGCCAGAAGCTTGAGGGCCAAGGTGTAAGGAGGCGACACCGCCTCACCTCTAGACACACTGCTTGAGCTCCAGAATTTGACTCTTGTTCTGTTTCTGTAGCAGTTTGAGCACAGGATTAATTATGCACTTTTGGTAAAGATTTGAGGATCTATTTTAATCAGTGGGTTTTATAATTCAGGGGTCACACAGGATTAATCAAGTTAATAAGAAATTCTGTAACTGTTGTCATTCAGTCTAATACCTAACTCTTTCGCCTTTACTTTTTAAACACTCAACTAGTAAAGAGATCGTGAAGTAAACTGGAGAGCTTAAGCATAGGCACACAAATATCTTTACTTTTTGATTCTCATGAATTGTTCCATTTAAATAAATATTCAAGGAATATTAATCATTACTTTGTAAAAAATATGGTGGGATCTCCTTTTTAACACTCATTTAGGGGTTGGTTTAACACTGTCGTCATGTTTGCATTGGAGAGGGATGCATGACTGATGGGTCATTTTAGACTTCATATCATCACAAGCTTCATAATTCAACAGGAAGCATTTATACATAAAACTGAAAGCAGTTTAAACTTTACTAGAAAATATGGCACATTATGAGAAAATGTAATTAAGAAAAATTTTAATTGTTTATGTTAATTGGATAGTGGATGTTTAAGGTACAAGAAAGTCACTTAATTTTGAGATGAGATTAAAGACAGTCTGCTTTAAATGCCATCCTGTTAAGAGCAAACTTCCTGGTGGCCATTTAAATCAGCTCTGCTCAGTGTGGCAGCCAGTGGCCCCATGAGACACTTGAGCACTTGGACTGCGGCTGTGCAACTGAGGAAGTGAATGTTTTACTTTATAAAATTTTAATTTAAATCATTTCTCAACTTAGTTACTGGAAAACTTTCAAGTATGTTTGGAATAACTTGGCTATATGAATTCACTTTTTGTAATGTAAATTTTATGATATCTAAATACGAGCAAGTATTTTGAATGGTTAATTTTGCATCTGAATTAAGAAACAGAGTAAGTATAAAATACACACCAAATTTTGAATACTTAGTGTGAAAAAAGAGAAACATTTTATTAATACTTTAAAAATACTGATTAATGTTGAAATGATAAAATTTGGATATACTGAATTAAATAAAATATATTTTGCCTGTTTCTTGTTACCTTTTTAGTGTGGAAACCATTGGAATAGTTAGTAACTGGTAAATTTTCAAATTAAAGTATTTCTAAAAATTATAAAACTGTTTTATTAGAAAGCTTATATAATATCACATGAATTTATTGATGTCCAGAGATTGTTTCAATCATTTAAGTATCTTGAGGGGGGACAGACATTTGACAAGACCTGGGTTCTGGTTCCTTGTGTGTCATGTGGGCTTCTTACATTTGTCTTTGAACCATGACCTCTCTGCACCTCATTTGTCTTTCTACTCACTGGAATTAACTTTGAAACCTCAGGACCCTTCCCTTACCTACTCAGGGTTTGTTGTGATAATCACTGAGGCCATATGGAAGCACCTTGATATTTGTGAACCACAATAAAGTACTTTACAAGGTATCCTTCTCTAAAGTGGATAAAATCTTAAACCAAGCTATTTAACTCCCTACCTTTAATTCATTCAGATAAAATGTTATGAAGAATATTAAGGGTTGGTCACTATGCTGCAGTCTACCTGGGACAGTCAGCGAGGTTCACCATGGATTTGAAGCCAAATGGCTTTAAAATATGAAATTGCCCTATAACACCCATATTATTCTGGATATTATGGAAGGAGTGAACTCACCAGTCAGCAGCAGGGACCTCGTGACTGCCCAGCAGGGAAGTTACCGTGAGGCTCTATACAGAGCTCATGGAAGCCGCGCGAGGCTCTATATAGACTCATGGAAGCCATGCAGGGCTTGTCCAGGGTAGTTGAGGTGGTTCACATTTTAACCCTTGAGAACACACAATAGAAAGTTCAGCTGATCATGGAAGAGCCAATTTCCTCATCAACCTGTGGTTTTTCACACAGCTTTCCCAAGGTCAACATTACCCGAGTTCTTCCCATGATTGTAGCACATGCCACAGGCCTGCTCATATTTTGTCCAAGAGAACTGAAGTGGGTGAAGAGCAACAGAGTCCAAGCACAGCGTTTCGTACTTTGACAGAAAGGCTGCATAAAGCTCACAAAACCCACTTTCCTCATTCTTTCTTAATTAAACTACAACAGTTTCTGGGAAGTTCAGAAGGAAAGTACTTCTTACACAGGGTTCTGAGGGGATTTAAATTAGTAAAGGTCTTAAATAAAGGATATTATAAAGTGAAATGTATTTAAGAAAATGTCTTCTATGAACAAATGCCCTGTTTTGATCAATCCAGGCAGCCTTGGCCCAGCTTGACTCTTTCACTCACACTTGATGATCCCTCCCCCAAGAAGTAAAGTGGGTGCAGACCAATCAGAAGAGATCTACTGAGGTTACCAGAAGATTGCTCTTTTTTTTAAAATTTATTTGCATAGTGGTGTCTCCTCTATTCCTGGAACCATACCTGACCTCCAGCAGGCACTCAACAAAGGTACTACTGAATGGCAACTTGCAGGCCCAACCAAGCCATTTCCAGTGGCTTTTCCATACAAATGGCCTGTCTTGGCTCATGCTGGAGACTTTCCTAAAATCTCTCAACAATCCACAAACCCCAAACAAGCAGCATCTGGTGTCAGCATGCCACATACCTCTTGCTAAGTGGCCCCAGGCCCGGCACTAGCAGCCTCTGGCGTCAGTTCCCAGCTTGGCCTCTCCTGGGCAACTCCAAGCCCAGCACAAGTCGCAGCTATCTGCAGATCACTCTGAAGCTCCTGCCAAGTGGTGCCAGGCAGGGCACAGGCAGTGACTGATCTTGGCTTGCAACTCCCAGAAGGCCCTAGAGCCAGCACACCCCATAGACAGCCTCAGCCCATGCCAGAGCACCACCCAGTCACCTCCAGGAAAGACACACTCGAGGAGAAGAATCATTGAGCACCAGAGACCTGCTAAAGCGAGTCCTGCTCTATAGGGTTGGCTCCTGCATAGCAGCTGCTCCACAATCCTAGTAGCCAATGGGCCTGGAGGTAAATCCCTCCCATTGACATGCCAACATCAATCAAGACTCAACTAGCCCTGGCTGGGTAGCTCAGTTGGTTAGAGCATCATCCTAATACACCGAGGTTGCAGGTTCGATCTGTCAGGGCAAATATAAGAATCAACCCATGAATGCATAAATAAGTAGAACAACAAATCAATGCTTCTCTTTCTCAAATCAATAAAAAAACAAAAATAAAAAAAAACTCAACTACAACAGGAGGTTGCACACAGCCCACAAGGGGTTGGGGGAGCGCACCTGGAGAGCAGAGCTTGAGTGACCGGGGATGCTGTGCCAATGGGCCCTACAGGATACCTATTACATAAGGCCACTCTACCAAGACTGGGAGGTGTTGCGTCTCTACCTAATACATAGAAACAAACACAGGGAGGCAGCCATAATGAAGAGTGAAAGAAACATGTCCCAAATGAAAGAGCAGAACAAAATTCCAGAAGAAGAACTAAACAAAATGGAGACATGCAATCTACTAGATGCAGAGTGCAGAACACTAGTTATAAGAATGCTCGATGAACTTAGGGGAAAGATGGAAGAACTCAGAACTTCAACAAAGAAATAGGAAACATAAAAATGGAGATAGAAAACAAAACAAAACAAAAAAAGAATACAATAACTGAATGAAGGATACATTACAGGGAATCAACAGTAGAGTAGATGAAGCAGAGAATCAAATCAGTGATTTAGGAGATCAGGAAGCAGAAACACCCAATCAGAATAGCAAAAAGAAAAAAGAATCTTAAAAAAATGATGACAGTTTAAGGGGCCTCTGGACCAACATAAAGGGTACCAATATTTGCATCATGGGGATGCGAGAAGGAGAAGAGAAAGAGCAAGGAGCTGAAAACCTATTTGAAGAAATAATGACTGAAAACTTCCCTAACCTGGTGAAAGAAACAGACATACAAGTCCTGGAAGTGCAGAGAGTCTCAAACAAGATGAACCCAAAGAGGCCCACACCAAGACACATCATAATTAAAAATGCCAAAAATTAAAGATAAAGAATCTTAAAAGCAGCAAGAAAAATGAAGTCAGTTACCTACAAGGGAGCTCCCATTAGACTGTTGGCTGATTTCTCAGCAGATAATTGGTAGTTACAGGATAGTCATGGGGATGTAAAGTATAGCATATGGAATATTGTCAATAATATTGTAATAACCATGTATGGTGTCAGATGGGTACTAGACTTATCAGGGATGATCACTTAGTTATATAATGTCTAATCACTGGATTGTACACCTGACACTAATGTAATACTGAATGTCAACTATAATTGAAAAATAAAAAATTATTTAAAAAAAAAATGAATGAATGAGCATGGATGCTTTCTTGATCCATGATTTGCAATCCATGAGAGTTTGACAAAGCATTTATTTACAGGTCTACTACTAAGAGAACAGAGCAGAAAGCCTGAGCCCCAGCCCCTGAACACAGAGGTTGGACAGCAGACCCAGAATGGAGAAAAACTGGGGCTGAGACAGGACACTGGTGCTCAGCGGTAGGGGTTGCACAACAGCTTGGGCAAATCAGTTGATGAAACAAGATCTTTAATAAGTATTTAACAATCCAGGGAAATGCACATCTACTTTTTAAAAATTTCCTGGTGCGGTGATAAGCTTTAGGTACAGAGGGAAGTCAGGATACCTAAGAAAAACAAAACCATTCTTGGTGGTGGCCAGAATTTTCCAATTTCCCACGTAAACAGGATTCTGGGAAGTGTCCTCACTTAATTCAAGGCAGCCAGAAAACATTTAGGGTTTATGATCCTGCCACAATGTTTTTATTTCTTTTTCAGTATCTCTTTCTGATTGTGGCGATTACGTGTTTATCGTGAGAATCCACGAACATTCCAGTGTAAGAATGCGGTTGGTATAAGTCCTGTGAAACAAGGGCTTTTCACTGCCTTATCTTTACCCAAAAATATGTAAACAAACAAAGGGTGATTATCTTGGCGTGGTGTCTCCCTCAGGACACCCAAAGTAAGTATTGCTCAAATGGAGACTGGGCATGTGGTCAGGGCCTCCAGGGGCATTTTACCAGCACTCCTGCGCCTGCTGGGTTGATGTCTAACACCACCCTGGTGAAGAGGCGTAGTTCACTTTTTAAATAGGTGAAAGTGGAGACTGCAGACGCCTCCTCTCCCCACTGCGCTTACCTCTTTGACTTCGATTTCTACTGTTTTTGTTTCTTCCTTACTTCACGCCGCCACATGGGCCTTCTGCTGTTCCTCCAATACCCTAGATTTTTAAAAATTAGAAACAATATTTATTGTTAAAATAGGGCACCCTTAAGGGAAAAGAATGTGCATGAAGAGCCTTCCTGGATTTTCTGTTATCTCAGCATGCCGAGACTATTGATTCAAAACTTTCCTCACTGTGTAGATGGAAAAGCTCTCCACCGATCCTCGTTTTACTTTTTTTTTTTTTTTAATGCAATCAAGTAATCAAATCAAAACCCAACTGTTAACAGACTGTCTGTAGGCACATATGCCCAGTCCATCTGGACAGACAGACAGAAGTGGGCCTCAAGTCCACATCTTCACATGCAGGCCAGGATTAGAGGTTCCCTGGAAATCAGGTGGGTATTCCTAACTCGGGACAGAAGTCCCATCTCTTGCTAAGCTGGTTGAAAACATGCACAGTGTCTCCAGCAAGAGGCTGAAATTCCCTCATTAGCAATAAGTATTTTGGGTATAATAGGGCAGCTCTTTGGCCACAGGTGTTATCTGGTCTAGAAGCTACTCAACTCCACCTCCAAACCCTCTAGAGATCCCTTAAATTGAGAAGAATGAATTCTGTCAAATGTTTTAAAATGGCACACCAAGTTATACACGGAAGAGGCTGTCGTTCAGGCAACAGCCTCACCAAGTCCACACACAGCTCTGAGCCCAGCACCCTCCACCCCTCGGCCCTCAGGATGGCCTGGTCCTGCCCACTGCTCCTCAGTGGCCGCTTCCAGCATCCAAAAGCCTCAAGCAGCCTTCAGCCTCACAAGTCAGAGGTGGCCTAACTAGGGGACTTCATAACTTCAAGGCCCAGGTCCTACGGTCCTACTTCAAGGCCTTGGCACTTGCTTTTCTGTTTGCCTAGAAAGCTCTCGCCCACTCCATATTCCCAAGGCTTGCTCCTTTCCTGAAAATGTAACATTCTAGGTCACCACATCCAAGTTTCAAACACACATTCCTTATGCTCGTCCAGTTTTGTTCTGAGAACTTTCACCATGTACCATACTCTCTCTCTTTCCTTTTTTTTGGCTGCTTAACCCGCTTCCTCCACTATAAAGCATGCTTTAGCAGGGAGGGGTTTCTGTCTGTTTTGCTCACTGCTATGCTATAGCCTTAGTATCCAGGACAATGCCTAGAACGTGCATACTAGGTCCTCAATAAATATTTGTTGAGTGCATGAATGGAACTCCTCCAGCTGGAGGGCAGGAGCCCCATGACATTGGCTCAACCTTTATATCAGGAGTATGGTGGGGATCAAATATATGGTGACGGAAGATTTAACTTTGGGTGATAGGCACACAATGCAATATACAGGTGATGTGTCGCAGGATTGTACATTTGAAACCTATATGATCTTACTAACCAGTGTCACCCCAATAAATTTAATTTAAAAAATGAAGTATGGTAGCAGAGTCTCATTTACTCACTGACCATATAGATGCTTTAAAGAAGACCTAAAGGCATGCTTCTCCACCCTGGCTGAGCATCAGAATCCCAAGGGAGCTTGACATGGACACAGCTTCCCCTGTCTCAGCCCCAGGCCCAGGCCCAGGCCCAGGCCCAGGCCCAGGCCCAGTGTTGTGACTTCAGTGGTAATAAAATATACCAGGGATTCTGGTGAAATGAGGGTTGAGAGTGGAGACTCACTTCCTGCCAAATCCTAATGAGGTCTGTTAGGATGTTTGACTGCAAACACCAGAAAGAGACTGGCTAATGTTAGCAAAAGGGAATCTGTTAGGTGGGTGTGGAGGTGGAAGCCAAGGCGGTCTGGAGGATCTCACCTAGACAAAGGGAGGGCGACCCCTGCAGGGCTTACCTTCCTCTTGACCTGCCCACCAGTTCTCTGTCCTTGGCTTGTCTACTCAGGCTCTGAAGAGCATTTGGTTGGCCAAACTCAGGTTACAGGTCCACCCCGGCCTGTTCTAGAACAGGAAGAGAGAAGAGAAATATAATGCAAGCCACGTGGGTGATTTAAAATTTTCTAGTGTCACGTTAAAAAGAGTACAAAGAGCCCAGCCAGCGTGGCTCAGCAGTTGAGCATCGACCTATAATCCAGGAGATTGAGGTTCGATTCCCAGTCAGGGAACATGCCTGGGTTGAGGGCTCAATCCCCAGCAGGGGGTGTGCAGGAGGCAGGTGATCAATGACTCATCACTGATGTTTCCATCTCTCTCTCCCTCTCTCCCTTCCTCTCTCTGAAATCAATAAAATATATTTAAAATATATATATTTAAAAAAATGAGTACAGAGAAACATATGGAATTTTAACAATATATTTTACTTAAACTAATCTATCCAAATATTATCATTTCAACATGTAATCAATATAAAAAGTTATCAAGATATTTTATACTTTTCCCTCCAAATCCAGAATATAGTTTACATTTATAACTCATCTTAATTTGGAAACTGAATTTTCAAATGGAAATACTTGAACTGTAAAGTTAACTATATAGAGAGTTAATAAAATTTAGTTGAAAAAGTTGATTAACATACTCAAATTGTTCCAAACGTTCTTAAAAGTTTTCAAAAGCTGAATTGAGCATCAGTTTTTAAATTTAAATAAATTAACTAAAATTTTAACTTTAGTTCCTCAGATATATTTCAAGTACTCAGTGGCTACTGTATTGGGCAGCACAGCTCTGTCCCTTTAGCGTCCACAGTTCAACACGTCATCTGGATACCCTCCCACCAAAGTCACACCCAGTGGGGGAAAGGACGGGACATTAATAGAAGTGGAGAATGGACACTGACCAGCCAAAACAAACTGCCGCAGGGTGATTTATCTCTCTCATACTTTTGTCTGGGGAAGGAAGAAAAAAGTTAACTCCAGTACATTTCCTGAATTTAAGATAAAAACAAAACAAAACTCAGCATTATAAGGAATTAATTGCTAAGTGTTTCTAGTTTACCAAGAATCCTGTGCTAACCATCCCTGAAGATTATCTGAGGGGAAACTGGCATTTGTTCAGGGCAGTTAGGGTTTCCGATTGGAAACAAAATGTTGGCTCTAATAGTCAGTGTCTTAAGGTTACATGGTTGACTTATGGGCCAGAGTCCTCTCAGCTTGGTTGCAATTAATAACGATCTTCTCATGGAAAAAGGAGACATTTTTTATAAAATTCAAAGTTGTGGTCATCAATTATTCCCTCCCACTGATCCTCTGCAAATTTGTTTACAATCAGATTTTTGGCTTCAGAGGAAATGGTCCCCAAATGGCTTACTTGCTGCAATTCATTCCGGTTAGTCCATCTGAACTCCTAGCTCTATCTCCAGGATGCGAAATGAACTTCCCACTGTCAGGGGCCAAGCGGGGATCCTCCTCCAGAGGGGTGGCCCTGCAGGCGGCCCTGTTCCGCACCTGGAGGGGGCGCCCCTTCCCTGGAGCCGAGGAGCAAGCGAGCTCCCTGCCCCTGCCTGCTCACAGGTGACCCTGGGGGCCGCTCTTTAGCCAACAGACCTAGTGAACCTGGAAGTCCACCCTCCTCCTTTGCTTGAAGTTTGTTTTAAATTCTAAATCCTGCAGAAACTGTCGGTAAGAAGTCTCTTTCCAACCCTTCAAGACAGCTGAACGGAGCAAGCAAATAATTGGACAGGCAAACCCACAATGTATTGTGATCCTCACACACTAAGTTAATGATTTTCTCTATTTTTAGCCTTTCTTTTGCTGGCAAAGTTCGAGACAAAAACCATCCAGAAGAAAAGACACAGCAACAGCCACTCACAGAAGCGTTAAGGTTTGGCCAGAGTGCAGCGTGAGTGCTGAAGGACCCGATATATTTCCTTCCTACTCAGTGTTAGCTCTGCTGCCTCGTGAGTCTTTAAAGGATTTCTAATTTATATCTAGTTGAAGCCACACGACTCTAGACCAACTGGAACTGAAAGGTTAACTTTGGCGTTGAGATGGAGGATGCCTGCACTCCTGGGCCAGCCAGCCCGTCCAGATGAGCGCCTCGTGGGGGGCGCACTTGGAACCGGCCAGGCTGTCCTTGCCCTTAGGAGGGACTTCACACAGCTGAGAATTCAACCCCCAAACCCCACCCATTTGTACGAGATAGGGCCAGATTTTTATCAACCACACAACCTTGAGAAAATAAACTGGTACTTACACAGGACAATGAAAGAAAATATTCTCAAAATTTCCCTGTTAAGATCCCATTTCCACTGTAGACACCTGTGCGAGATGAGTCTGAAGCAACATCAGCTGAAGAACCTAGAAGCAGGACGCAAGATAACAGGTGGGACTTCTCATTCGGAAACCCCAGTCCCAGCCCAAACCTCAGTGGGTCAGATTCTCAGGAGCTGGCCTTGATACTCAGAAGTCAGGAGGCTGGGCTGGGGCAGGAATTTGTAATTTTGGAAACTGGCCCACAGGGCGCTGACTCAGACAGCCCATGGCTTTATTAATGTCCATTGTTAAAGGCTATTTGCTATCACCATCCATTTTGTACCAGGCGAATTGGGCTGTTTTTTGTAATCATTAAGAACTGACTTATACAAGCATAGCCTAATTCATTCAAGAACTACTTAGTGAGTGCCCATTACATTCTAGGTATAATGCTAAATTCGGGGGGACTCTAAAGATGGACATGACAGCCGTAACCCCTGCACTCACTAAACTTACTTCCTGTGGGGAGATGGTCAGTTACACAAAATGCTCTCTTTGAGAGTCTACACTATCAGAGAGTCATGGAAGGCTCCCAGACCTGGAAATGAGAGGTGTGAGGAAGAAAGAAAAATGTTCTGGGCAGGACAATGTGTGTGAAGGTCTCTGGGGAGAAGGTTGTCAAGTTCTAGAAACTGAGAATGATGCCTCATGAAAGGCCCCACAATCCAAGACGAGGCACTGGACTTGGTCCTAAGAGCACTGGGGAGTCATGAGAGGGTATTAAACATGGGAATGCAAGGATCATATCTGGGTTTTACAAATATTACTCCATGAAGAATGGACTGGATTCAGACTATGTTAGAAGTAGGGAAACCAGTTAGGATCCTGTTGCAATGATCCAAGAAAGACACATTAGAGGCCTACGCAACAGTGGAGATGGACTGGAGACAGATTCTAGAGATATTTAGGATATAAACAATTGATTTAAAATGGTGTGGCGAGCTCATGTTTCTTGCGTGGCAACTGGCTAGATCCAAAGGTTCACTCGGTTTTATTTAATGGATTTTGTATTTTTCACTTTAACCCTCTGATGTAGCTGGGATGTATGTGCATGTAAGAAAATGAGTCCTTTCCTATACACAGTGGGGTCTACATAATGGTTGGCCAGTTGCTTGATGAATCCATTTTTTCTCTCACCCAGATATATACCCTTGCTTAGGGGAAAGGCCATCTTTATCATATGCTATTTATCCTATCCTTGGACTGATTTTTCAGACTGTTTGGTTCGACTGACCTTTTGTTTTAGTGCCCGTACCACACTGTTTTAATTTTCTGTAGTTTTTTTTAATATACTTTAAAATTTGGTTGAGCAATTCCTTATCCGTTCTTTCCCATATTTATATAGTATTCTCACAAATGAGCCATAAAATCATTTTGTTGAAATTTTGATTGAGATTGCATTAAATTTACTTCAAGGACACCTCTGCAATGTCGAATCATCCTACCCAAGGATAAGACGTCTCCTGATTCAAGAATTCCATTTATGTCCCTCAGTAGAGGGCTAGCGTTTATAAAAATCTTGCACATTTTACATTAAGGTTATCCCTAAATATTTTATGTTTTTCTGCTGTTGTGGATACTATTTTTAATTATATTTCCTACACATTGTTTGCACATACAAAAGCTGCCTTTTAGTTTTGGATTTACTGATTTTTAGTTTCCCCTTATGTATTGATTTTTAAAAACATAGTTTTTACTTATAATCAAAGATGCGCATGTTAGAGTTCAACGGTCAAATCATCGTTCAAAGTCAGTGATAAAAATATCAGTAGCTCCTCTGCCCCACAAACCCTTCCAACATGCTAATTTCCCATTCCCATAGGCAACCACATATACACTTTTAATAAGCATGGCGATCTATTTCTAAGTAATGCAGCTATACTACGATTCATCTCCATTTTAATTCTGAAAAAATTTAATATCTTCAGAAAAGTTACATGAAGAGTGTAATTGTTACAGAAGGCAGCTAGTTAGTATTAACGAAAGAGAAGGAGCCAGGCATCTAATGAGGATGGATTAACTAGGAAGCTAGTTTCACAGAAACTGCAGGGAACAGCAGCATTGCCCTGCCAAGGGGATTAATGCCCCTCCTCCCTCTCCCCCAGGGAACCACGGTCCGCTCCCTCGGATTAACAGGGTAGGGGGTGACAAAGAGTGAGGGGGAAATTCCTCTGCTGAGACATCTGCGGTGGAAACCAGATGTGAAGCAAAACTATGAGGCAAGTGCAATGGAAGCCAAAATGGTGACCATCAAGGGAAAATCTGGTAAAAAGACCAGACAGGACAAGGGCACAAAACCCTGGAAGATCCCAGAAAGGGGGAGGCACCAGCACTGCCCTGGAAGGATCCAGGAGAAAGGCTGGATAGTTTGAAAGAAAGCTTAACCCTTCCCAAACCCAAGGAAACAGAATCAAAGCTTAACAAATGCCTAAGGCATTTGCATTCTCTCCCTTCAGCAGCCGCAGGGCCAAAGCACAGCACCCACCCCGAGCTGGAGGACAGAGGCTGGGCTGGACTATCGGAGCGCAGTCCAGGGTGCGCGCACCCCGGCTTGGCAGGGACAAGCGCGGGCCTGTGGCCCCAGAGGCTGGACTTCTGCAGGGAGGTGGAGCGGGGCCACGGGGCCACGGATGAGACATCGGGCACGGCGTACCTGGGGCAGGCCCTTGTTTCCACTCCCGATGCCTCAAATCCCATGCGTGTATCCTGGAAATGCAATGAACAACTGTATGCCCTTACCTAGATCCACACTCTCTCTGCTACTGGAGTTAGCTGCAGACATGCCACTTATCCCTAATGCAAGAACCACACTTGGGAAAGTTGACCTTGATAATAAAATACCGCTATTCATATAGCTTGCTATTCTGCTTCTTGTGAATTTTTGTTGTTATAGCCGTTATTGACTTAATTCTTAATTTAGAAAACTCAGTTGTTTTTCATCTTTTCCCTCGACCAAAGTTACGCGCTCTTTCACACACCGTTTTCCCTTTCCCAACATAATCGCACTGGCATCATAATTTTGTGCGCGCCAGTCAGACCTTACCTTACCATGTCGTATGTACTAGGATTATTTTGCTGTCCGGCTCTTCTGAATGCTTCTCTCAGGTACGTCAATGTCCTTCTGCTCAGTATATTCAAACACACAGCTTGTCTACAATTTCATCTTCTTGAAGAATTTGTTTCCAGAGCCTCTGATCTGCTCGTCTGGTCTGGTCTGGCTGTGCTCTAAGCCAGCGGCAAGGTGCTGCCTGAATTTAGAATCTCTCTTCACCACTGTCTGGAGGATCCCAGCTTCCTTTCCCGGCTCCCCCGTTCTAGTGGAGAGCATCCTTTGGGAGTTTCTTACAAAACATTCATGGTAAATCTGAGACCTTGTGTGTGAAATGCCCATTTTTGTCCCATTGTTCGGTTGGTAGTCAGGCTGGATCTAGCATCCTGGGCTGGGAAATCATGCTCCCTTAGACTTCTGAAGGCATCATGCTCCGTCCGAATTTTTAGTGTTGAGAAATCCAGTGTTGTTCTGATCCTTCTTCCTGTCCAAGGAATGTTCTCCTGTTCTGGAAGTGTATAGGAACTTGTTTTCATATTGCAAAATTTCACAGTGACCTGCATTGACAAGGGCTTCTTTTCATCCAAGGGGCTGGGCATTCGGTACATACTAACTGGGCACATACTCTTCCTTTCTGGGGAAGTTTTTGAAAATTCTTTGTGCCCTCCACCCATTTAGTCAGCTTGGGCTGCTATAACCAAATCCCATAAACTGGTGGCTTAAAACAACAAACATTTATTTTTCAAAGTTCTGGAAGCTCAAGTCCAAGATCTAGGTACCAGCAGATTCGGCATCTGTCCAGGGCTGTTTCCGGTTTCCAGAAGCCGCTTTCTCACTGTTTTCTCAAACTGCTCGAGAGAGCCTTCTGGGGCCCCTTTTATAAGAGCACTAATCCCACTCAAGAGGGTTCAACCGCCTCCAGAGGCCCCACCTCCTAATACCATCACCTTGGGGGTTACGAGTTTGGGGGGCACACAAAAACATTCAGTCTGGAGCGGTCTCTCTTCATGGATCTAGGTCTTTTGGGATAACGGGCCTCCAGGACTGGGCCTCTCATTTAACTTTTGTCTCCTCTTTTTTCATCTCTATCGTATATTCTGCTTCAGGAAATTTTCCTCAACACCTCTCAGTGCCTTCCATTGTTTTTTATTTCTGCTGCATTACTTTTTTTAAACTTGTAAGACGTGGTTTTAGTTCTCGGAAATAAGTATTTTTTAAGTGGCATCCTGTTTTGTGGCTGTAATGTTTACCCCTTAAGTGTATAAATGATAGCTTTCTTTTCCAATGTTTTCTTCCTTCATTGTTTTCTCCAGATTGCTTTTTTTCTTCTTATTCTCCGTTTTGGCCCCTTTCAAGCGTTTACTCTCCTGTCTGGCGGTACACACCGGGGCACTTTCAACAGAAGGTCTGACTTCCCCAGGGTTTCCCACCAGGCTCAGCTGCTTTAGAAAGTCCCAGTCGCTCAAAGGGTGTGATTTCATCCAGCTCGGCAGCAACTGAGCTCAAGAGGTGTATAAATACTCTGAACTCATCTTGACCATTTTAGGGCTGACAAGATTGTCTCTAGTGAACTCTTGCATATAAAGCCAGGAAATCTGCTCCATCCTGTCTTGGAACACCAGGAAGCCAGATGAATGTATACAGAGGGCTGTTTTGAGTCCTGTAAAAGATTAGAGTGTGAGACTGGCATTTGAGCTTAAGTTCTAGTTGAAGCAAAGTTACTGAATTTATGCACAAACATTTGTAGAATTGCTTCCATATGACCTTCGTTTTTTAAGACAAATGACTCACTGCTTCACTACTTTAAGCCACATCTTCATAAACTCTTCCCCGAAATAGAGAGACTGAGGACATGGGGTTCCTCTTTTCTGACTCAGACATTGCCAGACTGGGGAGGGGCCAGGAAATGAGGCACACGTTCCACACAGACAGTCTATTTTACATTTGTGGCCATCGGAGAACAACTGGAAACACAGTAACCACATTAACCTTATTATATAAACCATATACCTTTTCAACATTAAAAATATAAGCATAAGCATTAATTCTTATTTGTATATATAAATGAGACTTTCATGAACAGTCCTGGGGCCTTTCTCTTCTCTTGCAAAGTTATTTCCCTAGTCTACGGACCACCACTGTGATGGGGTGTTATGATCCCCACTTAAGGTCACACACTGACAGCAGCCTGGATGGCTTCTGCTCCAGAGCCCAAACCAACTCCAGGGTAACTACCTGTCTCTCTCTTGCTCTCAGTTAAACAGACCAGGTGGCAAGGCCACAAGTGAGACACAATTCAACTTGAAGTCCACACAACCACTTGGGGTTGATGTGAATGAGGGTGAAATATTTAGCATCAACGCCTAGGCCCTCAGGCATCCAGCAGATTCTGATATAGCCTGAATACTCAGAATTCCACACATTAAAAACACACACACACACACTGGAAAGACGGGCACCAGGAGCCAGGCAGTTACCTACCTCTAACCCAGTGCCAATTCCACGTTTTGGTGTGCTCTACAGACCAGCATTGGGGGTCTGCCACCCCTCTCCGCCCTCTAGCTTCAACACAGGCTGTCAGTTGTTTCTGAAGGAGCTTAAGCTGAATCTAGACCAAATCCAATCAATGGTCAGGTGGCTCTGGTTCTGATCAGCCCCTTGTCCTGCTAACCGAAGAGCAAACTCTCCTCTCCCCTCTGCTACTGGTCCTCCGGTCAGCTCGGGCAGCCGCCATCCCCGTGTGCTCACAGGATCTCTTTCTTGTGCGCACACAGGGAGAGAACAATCTCGGTCATCTCTTCTTATAAGGGCACTAATCCCATCGTGAGGGCCACACCCTCAGGACCTCATCTAACCCTTTTACCTGACAAAGCCCCACCTTGAAATACATTGGGGGTCAGAACTTTAATATAGGAATGGGGGGGGGCAGCCCATAACAATAGCTTCCCTGAAGTCCTGCCCTGCTAGCTACCCTCATAAAAGCAGCATGTGTGCGCCCGATGTGAAACTACCCACGCTACAAGAGCACTTCAGTCAGTTAAAATACAACCGATTTAACAATGAACTCATCAAAGAGGAAGTACATTCATCGACAATTTCTTGTAACCACTAATTTTCTACCTTATTTCAAGGGAACTAAATTTCAGA